TTCATTGTAGCTGGTAAGCAACACTTTCTATCTTGAAATGGGTTTGTATAGCACAATTGGCCCAAATCAAACAAGCTACATTAAGTCTTGGCATTATGTCTGAATCAAATCTTGCCTTTTACTGATAAGATTTTAAAATAGGATAATGTTCTTGTAAGTTACATTAGTTAATATATGCATCATTTGCTTTTTTTTAAAAAAAAAGCTTAAAAGATGCAAACGTGTTTAATATGTAGCAGCAGGCAACATCTATTAATATTAGGAGGAAGGTATATAATTAATTTATGCAAGAAATTATTGTGCATGCTCCCCCATAACCACATTTGAAAAAGGCATTCTTTGTCTCCATTCTGCACGTACTGAAACATTGCTTGTCCTTCCTATTACAGCAAATTAATCAGCTGTAACAAAAGGTTTGGGTACTTTTTTATCCATTCTGTTTGTAGTGCAACAGTTATAAGTGTCCTGTATGTTAGTTGTACCAAACACACAGCATATTATCTATTCCAAATAATCTTTTCTTTGTTGTGAAAGCACTGTATACACAAATTAAAATAGGGAGTCAACGCTTGTGTGTATGTGTGTTTGAGGTTGGGGAAAAAAGCCTACATAGAAAAAGGAAGGCAAGAGGCAACACTCAACCATGTTCTATTTCTAGAAATGGTAGCTGTTCTCTTTTGAACTGATCTGGCTTATGCTAAAATAGTTGCAACCAAGTTTTCCAAAATACTCATTGGAAAGGTTTGTCAAAGAAATAAGTAACAATTAGTTCACATGGCTTTTTTAATATTAAAAAATGTGACAGTTTTAACAAAGAAATTTGCCACTTATTGTTAGAAGAAACAGCCATCTGTCTTTCTTCCAGAAAACATTTGCATCCAACAAAGTTTAACTGGATGATTCTTCTGTATAAACTGATTAAACTTTGCAGCTTCCTTCCAATATCTTTGTACATATAATTTAGAAGTATGGCTGCTTCCCCAAAACTAGCCATAATAATGGGATAGAATCAGTATATCTGGTCATACTCCCATGTTTTCCACTTATTGCAGAAGAGCAATGATTTTTTATTTAAGTACTGTTATTTATACAACCAAATGTGTATCACCTTGTTTCAAAAGTCTCGGGATGATTTAAAACACCAGTGAAGGTAAAAATAACAGCAGTAAACAAAAAAGAACCGTAATCCACAAAAACGACCAGATTACAAAAGCAAGCTAGGTCCACCATCCGTGCCAAAAAAACTCATCAAAACAGTATTATAGTTTTTACATCCTTATAAGGACCACTACCAGGAAGGCCCATCTTTAGACCCCACTCCTTGAATCTCATGTGGGGTGGGGACTTTCAGCAGCCCCTCTTCAGATGAACATACAGGGCAGCTAGGTCTGGACAGATGCTCACCCTGTAAGTATATGGGTGCCAAGCCATGCAGGGCTTTATAGGCTAAACCAGCAACTTGAAGCCTAACAGCAACCAATGCGACACTGAAGTGCTGGCGTTATACTGCTGTTAACACTATGAGCCATTTATCTGGAAGTCTCCTACCAGGTTTTTCATTTTACATTTGTATAGGATTGGACATAGAGTTTTTCAAAGTAGTGAGCAGAAAGGCTATTGCGTAATTATCATTGTCATGTCAATAGTGATAAGTAGTACTTTCTACTTTATGTATATCAGCTTGAAAAGACTGTGTAACGCATTTGTCATTGAAGGGTAGTTTCCCTAAAGCCCTTTATCCAGGGAGATTGGAACTGAATGTTGTAAGCTGCAAAAGATGACTTTTGTTTCAGTTCCCTGAAAAGGAGATCTTGTATTGGTGTATAAATGTCCAGTAAATCTTAAAAACCACATAAAATATTTCTATTAATCTAAATTTCTCTTCCTAGTGTTAGAGGCAAGTTTTGCATCAGTGAACACTAACCCTAACAAGTCTACTTGTTTTAGTGGATCTACTTAACAAATGATTAGGACTGGATTGTGCCAGTATTTTTTGTGCCAGGGTACTGAGTATTCTTTTCTTGGCTACTCCCCATTTTACTCTTGTGTTGTCATATTATAGCAAACTGGCACCAGTCTTTTAAATTGATAGCTTCCTAGTTATATATTTCAGTTGCTATCCTACTATTACTATCCAAGATGGTTACCTTTTGGTCAACCTGTAATTTGTTTGCAAAGGGGGCTGCTGCCCTTTGCAGACTCCAGAAAGAAACATGTGCAGTTAAATCCATTATTAATACTGAATTTAATTCTTATTAAACAGTTTGAAAAATTATGCTCTGAAGCTCCATCCTTTGGCCTTAAGTGGATATGTGTGAGATTAGTACTGTATACTCTTTGTGCATCTTGCTGACTATTAGATAGAGTATTAAAGAGAATTGGGTGTTTTTTCCTCCTTTCAGTGAATGCCTGACTGATTGAATACCTGATTTAAATTAATGGAGTTAGCCCAGTGGTAGGAGAAATAACTACTCTGCTCTGTGTTCTAAATTTTGTTGGGGGGGTTGGCATAGAATGCACGTATATTCTGCAGTAGTATTACAGGGGTTGTATAAGGACCAAAATATTATAGTTTGTAATATTGTAGCAGTTCAGTTTGTTCTAATAATGATATTCTGTTCCTGTGAATCTAATTGTAATATTACTGAAATATTAAGCTGCTGTTTAAGTCTGTTCTCATCCTATTTTATATAGGAGTTCACCCCCTCCCCTGAATTGTACTGAACCAAGCTCCTTACGCACAATAGTTCCCAGTCATTTGTTAATGTTTTTCCTCCTACACAGAGTTCAATCATGCAGGAGTTGCAACTCACAATTCATTGGTTACTAAGAAACAAGGGAACCTGATATGATCAGAGCTGCATATGGGGTTATTGTAGTATGTAATTTTAACCATGCAGGTAGAGTTTAAACTTGTGTATGCAGATACAGATTGAAAGGATCAGAAAGTAAAATCCTACATGTGTACTTCTCCCTTGAGTAGGCTTTAAAAATGGAGAAAAAGAGTTGGATGGAGACATCTTAATAGCTGTAGCATAACATTTCAGTAATTGAGAGGCATATTTGACTCTGCTTCTGACCTAGATAAAATGTGTGTGCAGGCAGTAAAGGTAAGTCTCCTGCTTTGTTATTGTCTCATTGGTTGCCTCTTACTTCCTTGAGGCAACTCTGATTTCCACAGCAGACAGTAGGGAGAGGAAAATAAATAAACTTAATTTATTCTTTCAGTTTTGTGGTGATTTCATGCATGGTTTACTACAGTGCAGTGTTTTAATCAATAGTGTGACTAAGTGCTGCCACACATAAACTGAAAACTGCATCAAAATACACATGAACAAAAGTCAAAACAAAGTCCAGAAATAAACAGAATAATGAGATCATTGGCACTTCAGGGCTGCTCCAATCTGCTTGGTAATTCAGAATCCATAAAGAAAGGAAAAAGAAGGAAAAAGAAATGGCAATGCTAAGTTGAGGAAGACGATGCAATAATTACATTGACCCTGATGAAACTTTAGAATGTATGCCTTATCTTTCGGTGATGGCAGCAACTGTGAACTCTTTTTTATTACTGTTTTCATCCAATGGTATGTTGAAAAAACGGTATGCAGAGGGGCTGGGGACTCTGTATATCATCAAGATAATTTTTCTAAAAACTGAACAGATTGGGATCAAATTTGGTGTGGTGGGGAAAGCTGGTGAAGGGAAAGATTCGATTTCTGAGCCAGGTCGATCTGGGGGCTGCAGAGGAAAACATTGCAAGAAGAAATACCCCAAAGGATCCCTATGGGCAAGGCCCTTGGGCAGCACTCCAAATGTTGCTGACTCTTCCATTCCAAGCCTTTCCTCTCTCCTGCTCACTTGGCCCAGAGCAGAGCTCTTAATAAGAGCTGCAATTGTCCTGTCTTGTAATTGTTTGAGAAAGTCTATATTGATTTAGCATACTGGTATGATTCATCCTTACTATTATTCAGTATCTTTCTTTTTTTTTTTTTTTGGGTGCTTTCAAGTCAGTCTTGACTCCTGGCAACTGCCTGGACAAGTCTCTGCCATTTGCTTGGCAAGATTTTTCAGAAGTAATTTGCCATTGTCTCTCTCCTAGAGCTAAAAAAGAGTTCAAGGTCTCCCAGCTGGCTTTGTGCCTAAGATGGGACTAGAACTCATGGTCTCCTGGTTTCTAGCCTGATGCCTTAACCACTATGCTAAACAGTGCCTCTATTCAGTATCGTACTTAACTCAATATGACATTGAGTCAAATTACCCCCAAATCTCCCTCTTTCCTTTTCCTGTGTATTACAGTCTAAAAAGATAAGGTATTTCCAGTTGAAATACAGCTACATCATCTTATAATGTTAGCCAGCTACACCATCTTATAATCAACAAGTATAGTAAAACCTTGATTTACCAAACCATTTAGAGGCAGGGGGTATCTGTTAAATCCCAATTTGTATTATTTGCATCATTCTGGTCTTTTTCATAATTGATGTAAATGGCAGCATTTGCAGTAAAATCTCAATTTAATGGACAAACCCTGTGCTTAACAGAGAAACTTTAGATATACAATAATTTGTTAAATGCAGTGGAGTCCAAATGAAAATGTTGGCCATTGAATCCAAAGTCTGTTAAAGCGAGGTCTGTTAAACAAGGGATTTAGTGTCATATTCTTACCTAGAAGTAGGCCCTGCAGTAGGACTTGTTTCTGAGTTTTCCTAGAGTTGCTGGTTGAAAGATATATTCTTTAAAATTTGCCCACAGAATTATATTGAGAAAAAAAATAATTTTGATTAACCTAGCGCTTTAGTAACAATGATGTACTGGAAACCTTTGTTTTAAACTATAGCTATAAAACTGCTGGTTAGAGTTTTAATTGATTGGAGATGTTCTTAGTTTCATAGTTTTCTTTTCCTTCATGCCAGAATTTTGATTTCCTCTTTTTTTTCTTTCTTTCTTTCTTTCTTTCTTCCTTTCTCTCTCTTTCTTTTCTCTTTCTCACTCATTCCAGAGATGCTTGTAGAAGGTTGTGGTCACAAGGAGATGATTCCTCATGAAGTCTCTGGATCCACATCAGAAATCAAATGTGATTTTCCACTTAGCAGACTGAAATCAGCCAGGCAGTGAAGCCACAGAAGATAAGGGCAGGGGCCAGTGAAAAATGAAATCCAACCAGGAGAGAAGCAATGAATGCCTGCCACCCAAGAAGCGGGAAATCCCTGCCACCAGCCTGCCTTCTGAAGTGAAGCCATTAGTTCTGGCCAGTGAAAATCACCGTGCAGATAATATAACATGGCTCTCAAGTACAACCAGCAGCCACAGCAGTGGGCGGAATCGGTCTGGAGGTACTTCAGTGGAGGCTGGTTCACAACAGGGAGTAGGTTTACACAAATCACTTTCTACAGGAATGGATTATTCCCCACCTAGTGCTCCTAGGTCTGTTCCAGCCTCTGCCACACTTTCCACAGTGTACCCCTCTGCACTTTCACAGGCAGGAACACCTGTTTCGCCGGTGCAGTACGCACATCTGCAGCATGCTTTCCAGTTTGTTGGGCCTCAGTATAGTGGACCATATGCCGGATTCATCCCTTCCCCACTAATTTCCCCAACAGCTAATTCTGCAACTACCACAGCAGCCTCTGCCACTGCTGTTGCAACCACTCCATCCCAGCGATCGCAGCTGGAGGCATATACTTCTTTGCTGGCCACCATGAGCAACCTTAGCCAACAAGGCCAAAAAGTTGAGCCGCATTTAGTCAGGACACCTGGATTGATCACAGCAGGATCTCCTCCACCTACTCAGCAAAACCAATATGTCCATATTTCCAGCTCTCAGAGTACTGTTAGAAACGTGTCTCCTCCAGCCATCCCAGTCCATTTGCATCCTCACCAGACAGTGATTCCTCATGCATTCGCCCTTGGCCCTTCCTCCCAGGTAGTTGTGCAATATGCAGATTCTGGTGGCCATTTTGTTACTAGAGAGTCTGCTAAGAAATCTGAGAGCAGCAGATTGCAGGCTATGCAAGCAAAGGAAATTCTGAATGGGGAAGTAGAAAAGAGTAGGCGATATGGCATCTCACCATCTTCTGAAGTAAATCTTATCAAATCAGGCAATAAACCATCTCCTCACCATTATGAGGCCAGACATGTGGTGGTCCACTCTGGTCCTACTGATTATATTGCACGAGATTCCTCCAGTGTCCGGCCCTCTGTTATGGTTGTCCCCAACAGCAGTACGCCTACTACAGACATGGAGGTTCAGCAGACCACCAACAGAGAAACACCTCCTTCCACCATCAATGAAAAGGGAAGCTTGCATTTAGGAAAGACAGGCCACCGATCTTATGCTTTGTCTCCACAACAGACTATTGGTCATGAAGGGGTGAAAGCAGTTGCCACTTTATCCCCTCACACAGTCATTCAGACCACCCACAGTGCTTCAGAGCAGCTACCTGTTGGGTTGCCTGCTACAGCCTTTTACACTGGGACTCAACCACCAGTAATTAGCTATCTGAGCAGTCAACAGCAAGCCTTTGGCTATCCTGGAAATCTACCACAGCATCTGGTGATCCCTGGTACACAACCTCTCTTAATACCAGTAGGAAGTGCAGATATTGACTCCTCAGGGGTACCACCTGCTATAGCCACTTCATCTCCCCAGCTGGCAGCAGTGCCTCATACATTTGTCACAACCACCATTCCAAAAAGTGAGAATTTCAGTGCTGAGTCACTAGTAAGCCAGCCGGCTTACCAGGCAGCTGTAGTCCAGGCCCAGATCCATCTCCCCCTGGTCCAGCCAGTACCACCTTCAGCAACAGCTCCTGCTATATTGCCTCCTTATTTTATGAAAGGCTCTATCATTCAATTGGCAAATGGAGAGCTGAAGAAGGTAGAAGACTTAAAAACAGAAGACTTTATACAGAGTGCAGAAATTAGCAGTGACCTGAAAATAGACTCCAGCACCGTGGAAAGAATTGATGACAGCCATAATCCAGGCATTGCTATGATACAATTTGCAGTTGGAGAGCACCGAGCACAGGTAATCAATATGAGAGCTTGTGGGGGGAGGGAAGAAGTAATTAGGAAAGTAGACATAATATCCTTATTATCCCTGCTCCTGATTCATAGTCTCTTAGCCTCAGAGTAATAGATTGGTGACTAGTTGTACGTCTGAATGGATTTATGCAAATTATACCAGTGACAAAGGAACCAATCTGATGAAATCATTATTATACAGCCAACAATTACTGCAGTTTGGAATCTTATAGAAATATAAATGTTATGTGATTTAACATGCGTAACAGATATTCTGCTTTTTGGATTAAATCCCAAAATAACAGAAGGATGAACATTTTATTGGGACTAATTAAAATATACAGAGTTTAAATATGCCAGACTTTTTCTTTAGGCTAGGTATTAAACAAAACCACAAGAAAGAAAACCTCTCCTATTTGAGGAATGGTGGATCATTGTTTTATGACCTTATACTTTGCCCAAATAAAAGCACACTCTTATAGTTCTTTGTTTTCCAATTAATTGAACAATAGAGAACCAACATAGGTACCTGCATTCCTCATTAGGTTTTATTAGTTTAACTTTAGTAGTTAACTTTAACTTTTAACTCTAATAAATTAATAAAAATTAATAAACTATAACTTGTCTTATTAGTTAAAAAAATTAATGAAAAATAAACCAGAACAGAGTGGTAAAGAGTAAAAGAACCTGTATGAACATCCCTGGCTTGAAGTTCAGAAATATTTTAAGATTCTACCTCTAGCAGTGTGTGTGCTAATAATTTTTAATGAGTGGCATGTTAAATGCGGGTTACAGTAAACACTTAACCTGGTGGTATCTATTCACAAATTTCTGTCACCATTAATGAAACGTCAGCAGATGTTGTTTTCAATTTTTTTTTTTGGTCTGCTTCTGCTTCATAGTAGCAAGTATAGTTGAAAAGACTGGGTCCCTGGCCAAAATAACTGATTCCTCCAGTCTCTTTCCTTTTAATCTTCCCATTATTGTCAGTAACACTTTAGAACTGTTAAATGCAGTGGGAGGTTTGAACTTGAAAAGTCTAGAAAACTTGCAGTATTTTCTTTGAAACTACATTCCACTACTCAGAAGGATCTGCAGATTAATGAATTTAGTTAGGTGTCATAGAATCAGTTCAACTCCTAGGGATTGCGTGGACAAACCCTTGTTAACTGACCTATCTTCATAGCTCTTCTATTCCAATAATCTTGTTAATACTATCCAACCATCTTATCCCATTGTCTTCTTCTTTTCCTTTGCTTAACTTCCCAACATGTAATTATTATTTTTTTTAGTCTATCATTCACTTGATAACACTATGAACATTTCTGCTAGGTAGTCATCACTTCAAGAGACCAGTCATCCTTTATTTGGTACAGGACTAAATTATCTGTTCTTTCTGCAGTCCATGATACTTATAGTATAATATATAATTCTATAATTCAAAGCATCTATCTTCAATCTCTTACTCATTCTCAGTATCTAGCTTTCCAATTACCACTGGAAAGACAATTGTTTTAACTATTCTTATTTCATTGCTATTGACAAGTCTTTAACCTTCATGTTCTTGTCTGAGTTTGTCATTGCCTTCCTCTCTAGGATTAATCTCCAGCACATTTCTACAGCACACTGTCCATCTTTATCTATTATTGGGGTAGATAAGCCAAACTATTTACTACCTTAACTTCTTCTAAGAAAGCAGGTTGACATTATCTTTATCTTCTTAATATTTAATATTAACCCAGATTTTCCATTTTCCATTTTTACTTTCATAATGAGCTCTTCTAAAGTCTTCTTTCCTTTCAACTAACAAAATGGTGTCATCTGCATATCTCAAAATATTGATGTTTGAACTTCCAATTTTGATTCCAGCTGTCATCTCTTCCAATCCTGCCATTCCTATAATGGATTTGCTGTATAAGTTAAACAGATATGAGGACAATTTGCATCTTTGTCCCTATTCTGACTCACTTTTCAAAATTTAGTTCTTAACAATTAGTTTTTATTCATGGTAAAGATTCTCAGAAGAATAATCTGGGTGTTTTGATACATCCTTTAGCCTTTAGGTTCCATATTCAGGCATCATCTATACAGTCAAAGGCATTGTTGTAATCAGCGAAATCTTATTCTTGGATTCTTTTGTTCTTATCTGTGTAATGATAGTTAACTGATATTATGTTAATTTGCCTTTTCTGAAAGCGACCTGTTAGTTTGAGATTTCTCTTTCCTTATTTTTCTGTATCAAATCTGTGACAAACTTTATGTGTGAGGCATTTGTTCATTTTCTTGCATTATCTTTCTTCAGTATAGAAATCAAAACTGATTTTTCCCATTTTTAGGTGTCACAGCCTTGTTTTATATTTGATGACATAGAGCTGTTTACAATTGTCTTTTCTCCTGCAGTTTTAAACAGTTCAGTGGCTTTTTCATCCACATTAAATGGTTTCATACTTAAAGCTGGTCTATAGTCTGTCATTCCTCACTTTCTGGTAGAAGTGTTTCCCGAGTATATTTTCTCTCTGCAAAAGTTTCTGTAACTCTGTAATTTCATATGTAAAGGGATATTTTTTCCATCTTCAGCATAGTTTTTAGCCTAGCCCTAACTCTTTAACCTCATTTGCCTTTATTACCTCTTCCATAATTATTCTTGATTATTACTATTTCAGCTGTATACTTTCCTGTTATTTAAAGATCTATGATTTTCCTTTTCTTCTTATATTCCTCTAAGTTGATGTTCTTGACTGAGATATCTTTCCTTGGTATTTCTTCCTTGGTGTTGGAAGCCTGAGTTCAGTTGTTGTACATCCTTCTTGTTTCTCAAAGTTTTTATCCTGTTTTCCCCAAACTCTCATGATAATTTGTCCTGGCATATTAAGCCATTCTTAATTTTTTTTTTCATTTTGGTTTTTACAATATCTCTAATCTCTTTCCATAGCTCCTTCATTTCTCTTTCATTACAATAAAGTGCACCTCAACCTGTTCCTTATGTTGTGACTGTCTGGCATAACTATTCTCTTTAATTTTCTAAGCTTAAACTATATATTTGACACTAATAATTTGTGCTCTGTACTGCAAGAGTCCTAGCTGACTGGATTGCATTTCATCATCTCTTGTTTCCTATTACAGAATTGATTTGATTCAGTGATGTGCATTCAGTGTCCATGTGTAGAATCTGTGTTTGTTATTTGAAGCAGATGTTGTCAAAAAACCAAGAATTCTCCTTGCAAAACTCTGTTAATACAACTCCTGCATTATTGCATTTACCCAATCCAAATCTTCCTGAAGCTCCAGATTTCTCCATTATTCCAAACATGCATTAGTAGTATTACATCCTTTCTTGATGTTGTATCTAGTACCCCTTGCAATTTGTCATAGAATTTCTCAGTGTCTTCCTCTGTTAAGTCTGTAAGTATATACATAAACTTGTATTATATTGATATTCATTAATTCTAACGTATTATCCTGTCATTTATTTGCTTATAGCCTAGCACATACTTAACAATATCCTTCCTGAGTTTTGTGATCACTCTCTCCCTTCATGTGGACTGATGCCCTCAATAATAAACTGTGTAACTATCTGAACTGAGTTAAAGGGTTCCATTCTAGTCTACCTAAGATCACTGATTTTAAGGTATCCAATTTTATATGCTTAGTTTTCTCTTTGACAGTTTCATGTTTTGGTTCATATTTCTTATATTTCATATTCTGATGCCATGTGTTCTTGTAAAATGAAGAATTCATACTTCAGTACTGTCATTAGCATCAATAAGATTTCCTTGTAACTTTGGTCTGAACAGATCACTCTTCCAGACTGAATAATGGAAGTTTGATGCTCTTCTCTAGTAACTATAGAAATACCTTCTGTTCGGGTGGTGTCTCAAAATCTAGCACCTAACCTTGCTTACGTGTTATATTCATGCCCAAACAGGTGTTTTGTTTTGTTTTGTTTTGTTTTGTTTTGTTTTGTTTTGTTTTGTTTTGTTTTGTTTTGTTTTGTTTTGTTTTGTTTTGTTTTGTTTTGTTTTGTTTTGTTTTGTTTTGTTTTGTTTTGTTTTGTTTTGTTTTGTTTTGTTTTGTTTTGTTTTGTTTTGTTTTGTTTTGTTTTGTTTTGTTTTGTTTTGTTTTGTTTTGTTTTGTTTTGGGATTTTTTTTTTTTTTGGCAAAATACAAGCATGGCTTGTCATTGCCTTGATTTGGAGTTGCCTTCCCTCATGTCTGCAGAGCTCTGCCTGGTCTCAACATGTTTTGGATTACTCTTAGCTTCCTCCCTTTCCTTTAAGAGTGTTCATACCAGAGTTCTTCCTATCTCTGACATCACTCTCAGATTCACTGGGGTTATTAACCCTCAAACCTTATAAAGACTGTATTCCAGATTAGATTCCTTATTTCACATAAAACAATCTGGAATGGTAAGCCAGTGTGAAAATGACAGATATTTTGGCAAGAGATATTCATTTGTTTTGTTCAAACACCTAGGCAAGTCATTCCTGGCTGGAAGAGTTGGTAATACTTTGGAATACAAATTTCCTAATAATATATCGATGGGAACTAATTATAAAACAGAAATATTTTCTCATTTTGAGCATCACAGCAAAACATGGTTTGTTTTAAGATTAAGAAATTTTGATCTTTCAAATTCTGTAAAACCCTTTCTATTTACAAAAGAGAGGAAATGTAAAAACTGTATTCCTATTTTGTCCAAAGTGTTCCCACTTTGCCCCTTCAGGCAATCTTTAAAAACCTGGCCATCTCCCCAGGCCTATGGCAAGGTTGTTTAGGGTTTAGGGTAGGTTTTTGGGCAGGTCTCCTTTTAATGATTGAAGTGAGGCATGTGGGATTTTTGTAGTTTTCCTCCATGTACCAGTTGTATTTTACTTTATGCTGTATAATGTTCCTTTTGTGTTTTTAACTTGTAAAGCTACCCAGAGTCATCTGGGACTTGGGAACCTAGAAATATGACAATTACATTAAATTAAATTTAAATTATATTAAAAGGGTGGTTAAAATATCCCCAGGCACCTGTTCTCTAGGGCTCTTTGTTCATGAATAATCTTCCAGTTCTGTAAGTCTGTAAATTTGTCTTTACAGCAATTTTATGAGAATAGGTGACCGGAAGTCTTGCTGTACCAATGGACACCTGAGGTTGAGATTGGAGACACACCCAAGGTCACCTATCCCATGCCACTGGTACTGAAATAAAATAGTGTCCATTTATTTGGCACATGCGGGAAACAACAATGGTTTCCTATGTAAAAGTTTGCTATAAGAAATGAACCTTTTGAAAAATTATTCTGATAATGAAAATTAAGGATCAAAGGCCTAGGATAAGATTCTACTCTTTCATTTTTTATCTGTGTATCTGAAGGACATATGTAAGGACATTTTTGACTAAACATTTTTTTTAAAATTAGAGAAAATGGGTCTGAAATATAATGACATATAAGGTGCGTATATGTGTCCAAGCAGTAGCTCACAAAAACAATATCACAGAATAGTATGTCTGTATATTATTTTCCTGACCTGGTTCAGTGATGGATATTCATCTGCAATGCCAAGTTGTACAAAAGGCAGAGTAGTACAATAAATTATAGGGCCAGCTAACATGAGGAGATACTAGAGGCAAGCCAAAATCATCGTTCACAAGTCAGGTAAACAGATCAATTGTTTTTGATAGCTAAGATGAACACAAAATCAAAAAGGGGGGGGATTCAAATTGGAGAAGTCTTGGCTGATAATCTAGTGTCAGGTAGAATAAGGTTTTGAAATGTAGGATATGGCTCGGGTATAGGTGGAAATTGGCAACCAGAAATTAAAATAGAGTGGAAAAGAGAGACTATGAGTTTTTCTGATCAAGATGTATGTATATTTCAAAGGGTGGTGATGGTTGCTGAGTGACTCAAAGATTTATGGTTGCCTTCTAATTCTGATCTTCCTGGCTGAAGTTTTCTAAGGCTGTCAGTATCTCCTGTGCCCCCCACCCCAAATAGGATCTGGTATATTTAGCAGTGGCGGAACTGGCCCAGTGATATAAAAAATATGCTCCTACCTTTCATATCATTATTGAGAATACATGAATTCTCCTGTACTTTCAACCTGTAATATGGGTGAGATTGTTAACTGTTTCATATAGTCTGACATACTTAATGAAAAAATAGGAAAAAATATGTATATGTAAAAAATCACATCTGCGACTGTCCATAATATAGTTCATTTTAACACCCTTGAGTCTTTTAATATTGCTCAGGAATGTCACAGTATGACTTTTGTGCCAGATCCAGAAGGATGGAAGCAGTGTTTTTGTGTTGTGTTCTCTTGTTCACTCACAATCTCACTACAGCTTCCCATTCAGAGATTGAGAGTGCCATCATCTGGTAGAAGAAATGATGATGACCTCTTCTGTTAATGTGTCACTTTATGCAGAAGTCTAACAAAATATAGCTGATATCATCACCTTAAAATACTTCACCAGCTGTGTTTCTCACAAGAGATGCTTCCAGAATTCAGAGACAGTCACATAGAAATGTGAGTTTAATTTAGGTTTTCTGTAGACTCCAGGAGTTGGGTTTTTTCCCAGATCAGTCATGTTCTTCTGTAGTAGCAGCTACTCTTCTACCAAGGGTTTCTTTTTTTTTTTTTAATAATAATAAAACTATCTGGCTAGATAGTCTTTTGCATCTCTTATTTGGAGTGTATCTTCAATGTATTGACAAAACTTTGTTGAAATATACAATATTTGTGAATATAAGTGACTGTGACTCTAGAAGTACATCATATATAGTCCTGAAGCCATGAACTCCTTATGTAGCTTTGATGTCCTTATTCTTCCTCTGATCTGCAGTTGTGAGATAAGATAGTGCTAGACTCTTAAACATTACTGAAACGGCATATCTGTGGTATTGCATTAAACATTTAAAGGCAGCTTTGAGGGGACAGAGCTAGTGTGCTTTTTCTTAGTTTTCCTTTTGACATATCATTGTTATTCAATTTTTGACAATCTAAAGCAGAGGAATGTATTGTGGAAGAGAAAGAAACTAGACTACTCAGAAAGGAAAAAAAATAGCTTGAATTCTAAGCACTATTTATTGGCTGAAATTAAGAGACATCACAGATCTGCTTATCTCTCCCTTCCTGAATTTTAACTTACTGAAAGTGTGTGTGGGGTGTGTGTGTGTGTGTGTGTGTGTATTAAGTGAATCATGAGGAAGTACTGTTGAATCAACATTTAATTCATGGGTTAGTAATCTATTGAGTGGGCTGTGAATAAGACAAAAACCATGGGAGAAAAAATACTGTGTTATACAGTATGTCTGAATGCATCCTAAAAATATTGCGTTGATTTAGCCAGGCTATTGATAAATACTGAAAAATAACTTCCTATATGAGTAAAATTCTGCACTGATTACATTTGACATTACAAATAGATAAAGAATTGTATAATCAAGAGATCAGACAACAAAATTGCTATAGCATCCAAGATAACAGATATAGTAGTGTTTTGTGATTACTTACAGACTAATAAATTTATTGTTGCTTAAACTTTCACAGAATAGCATCCGCTTTATTAGATGCATGAATTGTGTTATTCTTGGTAGACAGAGCTGCAAATGTCAAATAGTTCTACTATAACAATGGGGAAAGGTCATAATTTTGTGGTAGATGCAGTTACTTTGTATTCAAAGGATTTCTCTTCGGGCATCTGTGGGGATTACCTGAAAAGACTCTGGGGTTCCACAACCTCAGCCTTCCAGATTTATTGGGTCTACTGTTCCTAATTCCCAATTTGGCCATCTTGACTGAAAATACTGGCAGCTAGAGAGCCCAGATTAAAAAAGGTTGATAAGCTAGTTGGATCAATTGCATCACACTATATAATGCAGTTGTCCTTGCTTCCACAGCAGTTTGACAATGAAGGGATATGAACAGCTAGAGGCAGATATTATTCTACCTCAGAGTCCTGTGATCATTCCTGATGAAAAGGTTTAATCTTGTTACATTATTTTTCAGAATAAAAAACTGATAAAACTGTTCGTGACTCAAACTGAAAGTAGATCATAATTTTGCTAAGTAGATTAATAGGTTCATTTTTACATTTTAGTTTCTTATTCATGGCTCAGCTTCTGACCCATCAGAATATGACTGTGTACAAACTCTGTTAATTCTAGTTAAATTATTGAGGATCTCTTCTGAAATTAAACTTGACTTCTCAACAGCAATATTTTGTTGACTGCTATCCCAACCCAAAATCTCTTTTGAATGCAGGATCTGGCCTTTAATGTGCTACATAAGTAAGCCATTTTTTTTTAAAGCAAGCAATATGATTTAATGCTCCAAAGTGCTAAAGAATATAATTGAAGAACTCATTTGTGGAAACTTATGCTGTATAATATAAATAATTAATATTCCCACTTCTAGGCCCAAACTGTATTTATTCTGCCTTAGAACATTTTGATCTTGTGGTTTTAAAAGTGGTTTGTATATTTAGTTTTGCTACTTCATCAGTTTGTGCAGCACATCTGCAACTGTAGTTTTTATTTCACATTCATTGATTATGAACATTTTCCTTGCAACTTGGTTCCATGACAGTAATTTTCAGGTTGGCTGGCCTTCACATGTTACATTTCCCTATATTGGTTTCCAATTGTTGCTGACATCATTGCTTAGTCCAGTCTTCCCATTTTAATGTCTTTGGGATGTTTATTTTAGTTCCACTCCCATCACTTCTGCAGCAACAAATTAATACAAGCCCAGAAGGAAACTTCGGACTGGAAACATAAATTTGGTCCTACGCAAAAAGGGAAAGGAAAGGCCGGAAGTGGAATAAGAAACATATACCAGACAAACTCCCAGAAGGACTTGGAGCAATATGGCAGAGAATGATCTACTTGCATTGAGTTTCATGATCAAAACTCTTTAAAAAAAAAAAAAAGAAAATTTGGAGCAGCTACAGAATATAGGCAAGAACACAAAGTGATGACTTTGGATGTACTCAGGATGTGGTTAAACATGGGGATTACCTATTTGGTTAGAATAAGTAAAGGTCTTCCACCACTTCCTGACTTTTTACTTGATCTTCTACTGAATAGTTTTGCTTTACAAAACTATCTTAGACAATCAAATCAGTTTCTTAGCAAAAAAAAAAAAAAAACCAAAAAGAATTCACAAATGTTTCTTTAACCTGCTCATTTAGCTTGAGGTGAGGTCACTTCAGTAAATCACCTTTGCAAAGTGTTCCCAGGAGAAAAGCCTCAGTGATTATATGTATATGTCAGCCTGGCTGTGTGAAAATCGATATACAAATACACCCACATGCAAGGGCTTTGAGAGATGGTTGTAGGGAAGGGACTTATTTGAACTACTCATGTTGAACACTCCAGATACAATACACCTGAGCAGAATTTCTGAAGAGTTTTACCTGGTACCACTACCGCCTTTGAAGGTTCTTTCCAGAAGTACATAAGGAGAATTTATTTTTTTACTTCTCCTGCCGTGGCTGTGATAAATCTTGGAGTGCTAGCATTTTCTTTATCTGAATGCTATATGTGTATTTTGCTGTGAATGACATCACATTTTCTTTGAAAATGTATGTGTAAAGAACAGGCAAATGCACATATTAAAATTCATATCCATGTTTTCTGTTTTCCCTTTACAGGTCAGTGTTGAAGTTTTGGTAGAATATCCCTTTTTTGTATTTGGACAAGGCTGGTCATCCTGCTGCCCTGAGAGAACGAGCCAGCTCTTTGATTTGCCGTGTTCCAAACTCTCCGTTGGTGATGTCTGCATATCACTTACGCTCAAGAATCTGAAGAATGGCTCAATTAAAAAGGGCCAGTCCATGGACTCAGCTAGCATCTTGTTGAAGCACTCTAAAAATGACAGTCTAGTAGGTGGTAGACATAGGTATGCGGAGCAGGAAAATGGGATTGATCAGGGAGGTGCAAAGATGACATCTGAAAATGGTGAACTGAAGTTTCCAAATAAAATAGGATTACCTGCAGCATCTCTACTCACCAAATCAGAATCCAGCAAGCCCACAGCAACTCGGAAGAGGAGGTGGTCAGCCCCTGAAACACGGAAACTAGAGAAGTCAGAAGAGGAGCCACCGTTGACTCTTCCCAAGCCTTCTTTTATTCCTCAGGAGGTTAAGATTTGCATTGAAGGGCGATCTAATGTAGGCAAGTGAAGTCTATTAGGGAAAGGAAATTAGAATATCCCTTGTCATTTTTATCCAGATTACTGTACTGTAGACTAAATAACCGAGTATTTACATGTTATCATCTTATTTTAGGTTTATGTTTATAACGTCGTTATAGTTGCAGTTGGTATTATGCAGGAGACAGGTGCATACTTCCCCCACCTAGGTGCTCATTGGTGATTTTTTTTATCAAGAGCTACAGAAAGGGCAGTATCTGCTTGACACATGAACACACACCCTTTGTGGAAGCAAATGTTGACATGGCACCTGTTTTTCAACACTTCAAGCAGAATTAGTCTGGCAAGAGAACTCTAGGAAAGACAAACACTATTGTCTGATTCAGTCAGAGAGTGGAATTGAGAGTTCCATAGCAATGTGATTTGGTGGTTCTCTCAACAAACTTCTGTTGAAGTCTAGTCCAGAGGCAATAATGGAGAACTGAGCACTCTTTGAGGCTTTGCACAATAAAGTTATTTTCTTTTTAATTTTCTGATTTTTTTTGTCTTGTATTTTCCATTCCCCCAACCCAATCCCATACTGTGCCCCAGAGTGGGGGGGTCTAACTGCACTATTTTTATTAATATTATTATTGTTGTTGTTGTTGTTATTGTTCTTCTCGGAGACTGCCACATAGAGATTTCATCTCCACTTGCTAGCACAGTGGCATAGCAAGAGTGTAGCAGCTGATTCTTGCTTTGCTAAAACTGGTAATTTGCTTAAAGTGTGACATTGTTGGTGTCAATATAGCACGATCCAAATTGTGGGTATTGTAACTTGTATACAGCATATTGCCGCTAACATTTGCTTCCACAAAGTAACAATGTACTTTCCTTTGGGAAAGTGAACATAAAAATTCTTTGCAGTTAGGTTGCATTTTTTAAACTCTAGTACTGTTTTTTAACTCTGTACTAGGACTAGTGCCACTTTTTTCAAATTTCAGTGTGATACAAGGAAATGGATGAACATAGAATGTCTTCGAGCACTTAAAATGATGATCAGACTTTCCTTGCTGAGAATCCTGACTTAACGCTCAGCAAATCCTGTATTTTGCTTTATTCTCTTCTGGGGTGGGGGGGGGAAGAGAATATTGACATCTTCAACACTGTTAACTGCGTACAAACAAAGTAAAGGTTTTTCACAAGCGAGATGCTGAAAGTTTTCATGTGGTATCAAAGGTATGAATGTGAATTATGAACTCGTATGTGACAGTCATTGTCCACAAGGACTACTTAATAGGAGGCACTTTTAAAACTTTTATGCTTGTGAAAAAGTTAAAGGTATATGCAAGCTGACATATAATAAAAGAATAAGAAAGAGTATAAGGGAATGAGAAGAAAAACATTATTGTCCAGTGTTTTTGAAAAAGATGGACTTTAAAGAATCTTGCAATTTGCACATCTTGAGTTTATCATTTGTGTGGTATTCCTGCAATTTTTAATTTTTGAGGAAGGGAGAGGGACTGAAAAAGCTTAAACAAATGTAGCAGTTACTTACTAACCTGCCTAATTTCTAGGCCATTTTAGTAGGGTTAGGTTTCCTTTCAATCTTTTTTAGTTTCTTTGTATCATATCTGTCACCCTGAACCAGAAAAGCTTCTGAGAATTTCTGCTCAGATTTGCTGAGTATTCCATAAGAGTCATTTTGACACAGAAGCAACTTTTGTGTTTTGTTTTAATTCAGTTCTAATTCTCTGTTGTTTTTTATTGTAAAATTACTATTTCTTACTTTCAGTTACTTTTCTTCTGATTAGTAGTATAATGTTAATGTCAAAATTTGGTACAACAGGATGATGGGTAAAAGTTTATCCAGTTAAACTCTTTCAGTGGTTATATGACTGATCTCAGAAATCTGAAATAAATTCAAGAGTGGATCCAAAGATCCTAACTTCTGCTGATTTAGTGGCTTAAAACCAGTTTCTGATAAATAGTCACATTAAAACCCAGTTGATTACTCACAGATAAGTGATTGAACATATACCAACCTGCAAAAAGAAATCACTTAAATTATTAGCCTATTTTAAAGTCTAGGTAGTAAAATACTGCATTATTATTGCATAAATCAGGATCTCCTGAAAAGAGATGCTGTGGACATTTTCACACATGAGACTAAATTTGAGTATCCATTGAATTTGTAATGTAACTCTATATGGGCATGTTCTATCCATGTTATTAAGTATGTTCACATGTGTTACAAATATTATGTGAGAGTCTCAAAGATATCTAGTGTCTTGTGTGAAAATGGTGCAAGAACATGTTGGCATCAATGCTGTATTCCAGCTTACCAAGGATAGGTGGGTGATCATCAGTTACCTTCTTTCTCTACTTGCCATTTGGTTTGGATGAAATCCAAAGAAAGAACAAGTAAGGTAGAAGGTGTGGTATATTGCCTGTATAAGCAGGCTGCTTACCCTGATTTCTTTTCTGTGATCATTTCACTTGCCCTAAGGTGGCCATTGTCTGCAAAATGGAATGGATTAAGCCAAAATAGACAACTGGCATCTCCTGCTACCGAAGTGAATGATAAATTGAGACCTTAGCTGAGTTTAACCAATTTGTAGTTCAATTAGTTGCCCTACAGAAGATCGTTTTTCTTTATATTTGACCCTGATGTCCTGCTGGTTGCACATAACTCCATCAATATCAGATTCATTCTTAGCAAGAATCTAAATTTTAGAAATCAAAACAGAACTTTAAATGAACAGTTTTTCAAATGTTCAATTTCCCTGCCCACTTGCCTAAATACTATACATACATTTAAAAATTCCAATATACCCCTCTTTTTAATTGTGTTTCTTTGTTACTTGAACCTTAGCTCACAACAGAATGAATCATTTTTGTACCAATTTTTGGGATGCACCAAAAATGTGCTTAAGTTTTAAAATAGCTTGAAAATCTATCTTGAATTGTTATTATGACCTCTCAGTAATTCAGCTGATCACTGGGCAGGTTCCTTCTCACAATCATATTGCATTTTTAGTGCTGTAATTTTTTTTCAACATTTCTGCTCAGAGAATTTGCTTATTCTTCCATAAACTCTGCTCAGGGCACTTTCAATTTATTGAAGTTTTATTTTGGCTTATTTTTGTTTTGTTTTCACTTCAACCTCTGATAGCAAGAAGAACAGTAAAATATGGGGCAAAATTCCTATTTCATTCCCATCAGTACCACTATTTTCATGTGTCCTCAGAGAACATCATACATAAAGAAGCAGGGATTACAAAACTGACCACATCTATAAAACTAACACTAACAAGTAAAATAAATAAACCAATACTAATAAATGGTTCAAGCAATAGGAATGTATTTGTTCTCTACTTGCATTGGAGACTTAGAACTTGCAATTGTTACTTCCGTCCAAACATTGTTCTCGTTGCTCTGCTTTTGCTTCTTTTTAGTATGTGCAATATTTTGTGTGCCAATTTAGACTCACCTAATGGTAACAACAGACCTTTCTCATGCCATCTCTTTTCAGAGTGTTAAATGTAGGGCCTTATGCCTTCCTTTGAATATAGTAGGGATAAAATCTCTCTGGATGTCAACAAGTTGCACACCCTGGACCAAGGGCTTCTTACAGCTCTTACTACACCCTGCTGGTCTTCACATTTAAAGAAAAAAATCCAAACAGAGAAAAAAAAAATTGATATCTCTCTCCCTCAAAGGATGTTAATGGTGGAAAAGATAATATGAGGTGAGACTCATTCTGTGAAGATGAATACCTAGTAATTACTGGGCACTCTTAGATGGGTGCAATCTTCTGGAGAAGTACCAGCATCATGTTCTATTTTATATCTATCTAAATTGGGGCTAGTTCTGTGACATTTTTATGTCCTACATTTCCCAATTTCCAAAATTATTCAAGGCAAGTTCTAGTCCTATTGATGTTTGCAGTGGAATTTGTGTTGGGTTCTTTTGTCCTCTTCATCAATGGGATTAAGATTTGAGCCTTGTGCTCCCAAGTGCCTTAGTTTCTCTTTTTCAAAGGCACCTAATTTCACATGAAATATGTCAATGCCATGCATGTTCTTGCAACTTGTCCTGTAAACTCTGGTTCACAGTGTCACTCCCTTTTCAATTTCTTCTAATTGCTGAAATAGTGACAGTTGTAGAGGACATTTTAAGATTAATTTCATTGTAAGAAGTCTGTACAGTATCCACATGGCAATATTAACTGACACCAGTCCCACCCCCCCCACTCGCACCGT